TATGTACATATACAAACACACACGGATACATGCATATACTGCCGCAATCCAGTAGCTAAACCCTGTATATATATGTACAAATAAGTATATGAATATATGTAACACACAGGTACGTGTATGTATGTAAGTATACATATACAAACAAACATATACACATACATATACTGCCGCAATCCAGTAGCTAAACTTCGTGGCCCCGAGCTTAAATCCCAACGGCGGCAAAATGCATTATGTATATATACATATTTCCTCAAAGCAAGCTATTTCCCCTTTCGATCATTCCCCCTTCCGCTTTATTTGGCCGGGCGGCTATTTCCCTATATAAGGTCGTATGTAGGCGGACTTTCCTATTTTCGATGCTTTTATGAGGCAGGCATGTAATTATAAGTTTGATGCTGGAAGACATTTCCCTGCTTGTAATTTGGTGCCGATGTCTGATTTGGTTTTGTGCCTACTTTTTTCTCACTAGTTATGAAATAAAGAACCAAAGAAAAATGTTTTAAGCAATTCAACTATGGATATTACAGCAATGCCAGGTAAGAGGTCAGAATAACCATGGGGTCAATTAAGGATGATCGAGATGAATGAGACTTGAATTGACATCAGCTCCGGTTCAGAATGATAATGAACTTGCAAATACTATTCTTTGTTTCTTTTATATAGTAATATAGGCCTATAAGTTCAAATACAATACAACCTAAAAGCCTGTATTGTATGAAAACTTAAAAATCAATGCAGATGCTTTAATCAGTACAAGGAAGTAGCAAATATTTAAGATAAAAATTACCCAGTAACGTAAGCGGATATCTTGCCACCCACACAGGGGCATCGTAGCACCAGCAGGGAAATATTCGCTCCCACACTAATCTAGACGTAAGGAAATGCCACCCGTAAATACCCGCTCTTCAGGAAATTTTGCCATATACTATACATGCTTGCAATGACCGAAGACAACAAGCAGTCTGCATGCTACGATCATTATTCATGATCACGTTTAATCTGCAGTAATCTGAACTTCATTTACATATGTTGCAATCAAGGTGGACTGTTGATGAAATTGATAAGAGCAGATTGATACAATTTCGTTGGGACTTAAGCCATAACCTGTCTTCAACAAAAAATAAAAGCGTTTGATTTCACATGTATTGTCCATGTGGATAATTCAAGCAATACACGTAATACGTATGGATTGCACTGCGTCCTTTTCTTTCCTTTTTTTACAACCTAATGTAACATACAATCAAACTGCATATAAACAATATATACTTTTATTCAAAAACGAGCATCTACATTTCCACCAACATAAATCTTACATTCTCCCCAAGGATTCGCTAGGGCAAAATCTCTACACGCTGCTATCACTTCCTCCGAAGGTTCTAATGCCAAAGGGCCTTTGGTCGTTGGCTCGTATTCCTTCACCGCCGAAGCACAAGTCCCACGAGCGAAATCAAAATCCGCGGACGCGAATTTTTCTTCAAGGGCATTGGCGGCTATAGGATATTCTTCCTTTGCAGGAGCCATGGGATCCGACCACTCCTGCACGATGGCGGCGGCAAAAAACGGGTCGGAAGGAACCAAGTCGTGTTCCTGCACTGAAGCAACGAACGTCAGACCCTCACACTGGCTGTCCATGGCGCTTGAATATTCCGAAAACTATAGAAATGCGAAGGACACTCGAAGGAGTCGAATGAGTAGAGACATGGTGAGCGAGCGGCCTTTAGTACCGTCTGGAATGGGGACGGGTGGGATCATGAGGCAATTACAATGGGGAACGGGTTACGGACGGAGGAGG